CTGTCAACAAGTAAGTTCCTAATTCCCTGTATCTGGCCAATCTCTTGGCCTTAGGAGTGATGGTTGACTGTGCATGGGTGATACTAAGAACATCCTAGACCTACATCAACCAGTGAATTTAGGAAGGCGTGGGATGGAAGATAGAGCAGAGAGTCTGTAAGCACAGACGGTTGTTGCTCATTTTTTGTTAAATACTGTTGCTACCCACTACGAAGCATTAGCTTAATTAACTCAGGGACAAAATCTTCTGTCTCAGCGAAGTCCATCAACATTCAAGGAGTATTTGGTCCATGTTAGAAATATGAAAATGAAATTAAGATTTATTTGGCTACAGTCTAATCACAGAAAAGCCAGCCTGTCTCAGAGATGAATGTACTAACAATTTCAAAAGTAGACAAATTGCTACTCTACCCTTCCATTGCTTATCAGATGTAAGGAAAAATTGACTTGAAACCCTCAGTTTTTTACCTTCGCTTCTCAAAGGTGAATGACATCCTGTAATTAAAAGCAAAAACAAGCTCTTATGCCCACACATTTAGAAAAAAACCTTGTCAGGCTGTTATTACTGCATGGTATTATCTGCTATTGATATTCCTGGTCTGACATTTTTAGATAATGTGGTCTCAGCTTGGGATTCGTGGATTCCAGTTCCTCTGCTGTGGTGTATTCTTTCATGGTTAGAATTTTCTGAACTTACAGCATTAAGATCGTTCTTATGATAGAACCAGAGCACATTGTTTGCCTTATTTATACAGTGTGATTTCACTCTTTGCTCTTAATGCCATTTATCATGGTTAGTCTGGTCTTATCCTCTGCCTCCAAAAGTAGGTGATGACTAATGCTTCCAAGGAAGGAAGGATAACAGAACCTCAGGCCTCCACAGCTGATTTCAGTCAGGTTTCTGTTTTTGATATTATTCATCATTTTACCTCTTCTATTTTAGGTTACTATTCTTGAAAATGATCTTATGCTATCAGCCACCATTTCAGAAAAGGTAGCTGGAAAATTGAGGAGAATTCAGAGTAAACATACATGAAAGAGTCAAGAGAAATCTGCCCTTTTCAAGGAGTTTAATTAATACTTAATTTAAATGTTTTGGTTTAATTAAAACATTGATCTGGCTCCATTCTGAATGGATCTACATAAGGAAGAGTCAAGTCTGTAATGCAGATGACAGGAGCATAACAAAATGCAGTGGTTGGAAGTGGATCTAGCTAAATTTTAAGCCAGACATAAAAGAGAAGCTGTAATTACAGTGCTTACTTTTTATCCAAACAATTTACCTAATGCTGTGTTGGGTTCTTCAACTTTTGCATTGTTTCAGTTGGGGCTCCGTGTGCTTTATAGCAAATATTCTTTAGCTCAGCAGAAGCTTTGCAAAGCAGTAGTTGGGGATGGTTCAGGGTTAGTCAAAATGATCAATGAGAGGCTTTCAAAGCAGTGACATAGAGAAGATTTAAGGGATTTTGTGGGGGGGATGAGGCAGTGAATTTGAGAAGGGGGTGTTGCCAGAGTGGTCAGTAAGTGAGGAGTCACAGAAAAAGCTTGCAGCAGTCAGATCAGGAACGAAGCTGTGAGTTACGGCTGGCCAAGGATGGCTGTGGGAGGGTGGCAGGCAGACATGCAGAAGACTTCAGCCAAGACAGGGAGGTGTGGCGCTGAGAGGGAAGCAAGAGGTGGCTGTTCCTCTGGGAGGATTCCCAGGGACACAGGCCCTGCTGACAGAGGTTTTTCCAGCCTTGCTATGTTAACTGTTGCGTGGCTGGGTCTACCCAGATTTGCCAGGAAGGGGCTCATTGAATGCAAACATTGCCTAACAAATTACTTGATTGGAACAGAAATGTGGGGGCAGCTGTAGATTTAATTGTTAACATTTCAGTGAAAAATAACTTCTAGTGGAAGAAAATAGCTCAAAAGTGAAATGTGTGTTTGCTGGCTGTATTGCTGGCTAGCCAGAAAAACACTGCTGTTACTGATTGGGTATTCCCAAGTCCACCACAATGACACTCAGGCAGTGACATGTCAGAGTAAGTTCAGAGTAAGTGAATTAGTTATAGGCCCAAGTTTTCCTGTGCTGTTCCAATTACTTGTCCACATGGCAAAATGTTCTGCTCCAAAGAAGCTTCTGATGGAAAACCAGGCAGTATTGCAGGGAGTGGAGAGAGAGTGCTGATGGCTCTGTCTGAATTAGCCAGGGTGCTCCAGCATGGAGAAGTCTGCTGAGAGGTGGGGGTCTGTGCTTGTCTGCAAGCTACTGTCCCTTACATTTTTCCTTGTTTTGGCCTTTTACTAGCTGACAAAATGGAGGGAAAATAATAGCAAACACATAAGTTTAGCTTCAGCTTTTAAAAAGAAATTAATTAATTTTCTTTTTCTGTGATCTTGCAGAGTAGTTAGGCTAAATTTAATTGAGGCTGGGGAACTGGGGCTGGAACACATGAGGAAAAGGGAACTTGCTGAAAACACTGTCAGGGCACAGATAGCAAAAACGAGTGGCAGTAAATGCATAACAGAAAATGAGATGGGGAGAAAGAGGAAGAGAAAAGGCTAATGGGGAAACAATTAGAAAATACCACCATGGCCAAAACAAAGGCGTTAGAGGTTAGCTGAGAGGGAGCTGTGTGCCAGTTTACAGTCAGCAGCTGAGTTACAGCACTGTGGTCTCCCTGCTCCCAAGCTGTCCATAGGAGCAGTCTGCTTTTTAAGCTCATTTGTTGAAATTCTCGCATTGTCTTCAGTGCTGTGCAACCTGGCTACTGAAGCAGACATTCTGGGTTTGTGCATCACACTACCCATCCCTGTCATCAGCCTAGCAGACCATGAGAATTCAGTGGGACCAAGGCATGCTGCCTGTGGGTGGTTAAGAAACATTCCAGAGCAGGAATGGTGATAATCTAGTCAGTTCTGGGATTTGGTTTTCTTTAGCATTAGTATGGAGGTAATGTCCAGGGTCTGAGGGTGCTTCACTACAGCAGGAGGCTCTTTCATATGAGATGTCAAGCCAGAGGCTGAAAACCTGTCAGAATTAAACTCCAGGATGCTTTTAGCAATGGGTAAGGTACAGTCATCTTTGGATGTAATAACTCTGCAGAGTGCAGGCTTGTCCTGTTTAGCTCTTAAGGCTGACTGCCCTCATTGCTTTCTGCTCTTAAGACCTAGATAGTTGACTCAGTTTTATTGCTGCTTTTAAAGTTTTGAAGGATGTAGGAGGAGGAGACAGCAGTGTAGTGTAGGTGAATCTTACTGCTGGAGTGAGTAATTTTCCAGATCCATAGGGGCTAGTGTTGGTAATGGGAAGTGCCAGGCGGTGGGACCATGGTTTGTGTGCCCTCAGCTCTTACCCATTGTGACTGGTTTCCTCTCCTGCCTTGTGGGGAAGACCTGCCTTTCACTTCTTGCTTTCAAAATGATGCTCTGCACTCTTGCTGTGGGTTGGACAGCAGGGCTGTGAAGGAGGAAAGTCATGTCCTTGCAGCTCAGCCTTGGATACATCTCTGGGCTGCTCCTGCCATGCTCCTGTCTGCCTCATTTCTAGCCAGCTCCAGTGTCTTCCTTTCATTGGTATTGGATTCCTAGTGCATCAGGCTCACTTCCTAGTGGTAGGAATTGTGAAACCACTGTCTGCACATCAAACAGTCAGACTGCATGGCCAGGAAGAGACAGAAGTGTTGGAACTGATGTTTGGAACTTGCCAGTTCCTCTCTCACACAGGGAGTGATGCAGATGGAAGATAATCAAAACTTGTCTACCTCCCAGTGTTAGGTCAGACATTGGGGCTTAAAGTAGAAATTACTCCTCAAGTAGGAAACTGTTTTCTGAAGTAAATTTACAGGTTGGAATAAGGACACCTGTATATCCAGCAGTTTTGAGTCTGAAGGTACTGACCCTGCATTACCAAGTGGAGACCTTGATCCTGTCTCTTGCACTGATCCTTCTCCATGATGAAATCAAATCTTTCCTGATTGGGTCACACTTGTCTGCTGGTTTTGGTAGCCTTAAGGGCTTCTGACACCAAAGCAGTGCATGGGCAGAAGCAACAGGGTGCTCAAGAGCTGCAAACTTAGCATTGGCTTCTGTCTGTGTGGGATCTTCATTTCTCCATCAAATCTCAAACCCAGCTCCATAGGACCATCTGATAGTACAGTAGGGCTATCGTGGCTACCAAGCAAGTGTGGTTTGTGTGTGGTGAAAAGCACTTGTTCATTGGAATTAACAGGATTTTTATGGGCAACATTTTCAGCAGCATCTGAACCCAGTTCTCAAAAGTGATGTAGGCTTTTAAGAGGCCAAAGCCAAGATTTTCATAAATAAGTAATGATTTGGGCTGCCTCTGTTTTTTGTTACACAAGTCTAAAAGGAGCCTGGTTGTCAGGGGTTGTGAGATTCTGGCATTTATTCAAAATTGACATGCTTTTAAAATGTCTTAAGCTGGGCATTCAGAAATGGAGGCATCAAGAATGATTAGCTAGTTTTGAAATCTGTTTTCTTAAAAGTCTGAATGAAAATCACTGGGGCATGGGGTCCTAAATGACATGTGAAAAAGTGCTAAAAGTGTGTTTTGGAAGTGTGTGTGCCTATCTGTGACTGTATGTGTCCCCAGAGCACCTGCACTGTTGTACATTAATGTACTCAAACAGGCCTAACAGGGTAAGGCAAATATATCACTACTGTGCTGAATGTAGGGTGGGATTGATGGGCTGCTTCAGGGTATCAACCTGTCTGTGCTCTGGTTTGAAGAGGAAAATAGCAGTGATTTTTGCAGGTACCAACAATAATAACCTGATCAGTAATTCTGACCTGCTGGGGAGAGAAAGACAAATTTGCATCTAAAGTCCTATACCTTAGGAACAACATATTTAAAGTTAAACAAGTGCCAGCTAAACATGTTTTGAAGGGTTTTGTAGGTTTGATAAACCAGAAAAATAGTAGGATTGCAGCTGTTACTTTCCTAGGCTAAATTCCTAATGTATGTGTGACTGGTTTTTTGTCTCCTCTCAAAGCTGAACCATGTCCCACCCGTCCTGGCTGCCACCCAAGAGTACCAACGAGCCTCTTGGTCACATTACTGCAAGGATGGAGACCACACACACCTTTGGGACTCCCAGCATCTCTGTGTCAACCCAGCAGACCCCAAAGAAGTTTGCACCTGTGGTTGCCCCCAAACCAAAGTACAACCCATACAAGCAACCAGGAGGTGATGGTGAGTACTTATTTTTTAGGAAGGAGCCACAACTGCCTAGTTCAGGGGAACTGACTGCTAACACAGCTTGATTTGCTCTTCATTGGTGAGTTTGTGGGAGCCTTCCTTTTTCAGGTCATTCAAATCGAGAAGAATGTGAAGGAATCTCTTCCCCTTGCTCTGACTAGCTACCCTCCTGAGAGGTGTAGGGCTGGGAGACGACACGAGGACAGATCTTTCTCAGTTTTAATTGAAAGCAGATGTCCTATGTCCAAGACTGCTACTTTTCAAAGGGTTTTGCTTGTTTGGTCCCTGCTGGCATGTGATGATTCGAGGAGCTTGGGCTCAAGCAACCCTTTTCAATACTGGTTCTTTCACCCCAGCACAGTGGGAATGCTTTACAAACAAGGGATTGATCTGTGAGAATATAATTGGTGGTAGGGCATAAATTTGGCCAGAAGTGTTTTCTCTCCAGTCTGCTGGCTGGATTATTTCACTTTTATTCTTTCCATCTCCTGTGGAACACTCTTGAATATGAAATAATTGGGAGGGTATTTAGATGACCATTGCAATGGCCTGTGGAGCTGTTATGTCAGCAAAACAAATGCCTGCCAGTCACTGTGTGTCAGCCTTCCTCTACTTCTTGCTGTGAAGGTCCTCTTCTCTTGATATAATTGAGCAGCAAGTATGGGATTTGGGTTTCTGGCTTGTGGACACATGGAGGGAGGGAGTTCACAGGAGCAGGAGTGCATGGCTGTGGGAGCACCTCTGGAACTTGCAACTGGAAATCTGCAAGTTGGAGCACCTGGGATGCCCCTGGCTGACAATGGAGAGTTTGTGATGGACCTGCAGCAGAAACAAGTGAAGGCCAAGGATTTCAGGATAGAGTGGTAGCTGTTTTGGCAGAGCATGACATTTCTATTCCTGGTGATTTACTGTAGGCAGAAATGGGGGGAAGTTCTTCCCCTCCTCCTCTCCAATCTTTCTCCAAAGAAAAGCTCAGTTGTATTCAAGAAAATTGCCAAACCGGCTTTTGTATTTGGTTTTGGATGCTCTACATTGTTCCTTCACCACTTTTTTCTCTTTTGTGTTGAGTACAATGAGATAAATATCACCTGTATATTTTTTCCTCTTTCTGTTCTATCTTTTGAAAGTGTATGCATTTTCAGGAAGACTACAGAGTAATAGAAAAGAGAAAGAAAAACAAAGCAGCATATTAAATCTTACACTTGAGTGATTTTCTAAAGTTAAGGACATTTTATAGGAAAGTTGGAAAAGCCTGATGAGTGTTTTGGATATTTTTCATCTGCTGCTCTAACTTCGGAGAATTCAGAACGAAAAAAGAAAATGTGTTGGAGGGGGAGAGGCGAAGTCATATGCACCTGTTCTGCTGCCTTCAGTAACAAAACTTAGTGAGAAATAGGAAGAGAAAGACATTTGGAATTTAAAAAGTAAAAATTAATCCATTTCTGAAATGCAAAGAAAATGTCACCTTCAAGTCAAATGGAAATTCTTATTTTTCTAATTCCCTTGCAATTAAAAATAATAATGGAAAATGACCCTTTTTTTCCTAGGAAATCTGTTCTTGATCAGTCAATATTTTTTGTGTGAAAAAGGTCAGTATGTCTTAATTGTCAGTGTTTTAGTGATTGTAGGTCTGATTGTATGTGACTCAGGAACATTATCACCACCTAAAAAAATTCTGTGTTTCTTGCCATTTGGGGAAGGAGGCTTGAGCAGAGCAGGCACTGTAGGCTCTGAGAAGGGGAGACAAGATACTCAATTATTGCTTGTGCAACCCAGAGTACTTGGTCCTGCAAGCAGTCAGGCATTGCTGGGTCTGCTGGAAACCAGGAGACAGTCAGGAGCTCCCAGGGCTTGTCAGTGCCAGTCCCTTGCCTTGTTTGATCTGGGCTTTTAGAGATCCCATCATTATCTGACAGGCCTGGAAAGAGCTAAGGGTTGGCCAAGACCCGGTCACAGGTAGGCTTAGTGATGTGACAACGTGCCTGCAGCTTTAGCTAATCCACTTCCAGAAGGTGACACGCTGCTGGTCACTGTCAGCAGCCTGTGCAAAGCCATTCCCCACCCCTACATGACCCTGAGAACATGAGGCTTCTGGGATCTGGCAGGAGTGGGCTGGAAGGGCAGTGAGAAATAGCCCAGTGTGCTTCATTCACTTTCTATGGCTCCCTTCTCTCTTCCAAGTTCCCTAATTGTTTTTTCAATGACCTCCCTGATTTCTGCAGCAATAATTCAGCTTGGGAGATGGCTCCAGGCCCCACTGGTTCCCTGCTCACAGGGGCACTGCCATTCTGCCTCAATTTGTCCTCTGTTGGATGCAGGTCTTTCCCACCTGGTTAGCTGTGAGTCTGTAGGTAGGAAAGTAGCAACATCCCCTCAAACCCCAGAGTGTTTTCATCTCTCCTACCCTGCCAAAGCTGCGTATCTGGAGGCACATGGGCTTCCCATGCATCCTTCTGCTGGAGATGAGTGGGAGCAGCAGCACTGCTCTGGGGAAGGGCTGTCCTGGGGCTGTTACTGGTCAAGAAGTGGCTGTGCTCTTCACAGCCTTGGATGCCCCAGCAGTGTCACTGGATTTGGCTCCCTGCAGCCTTTGTAGTATCTGGAATCTCTCTGAGACACTGGCAAATTCTGATCCTGGTAATTTCTTCAGCTTATTGCTTTTAATGTTTAGGAATGTGCATCCTCTGGCCTTGTGGCTCTCATTATTATTTTGTAGGTGTGTTGCTTGTGTGTAGAGGGTCTGTCCAGCTGATCACATTCATGGTTATTGAAAGCAGAAGGGAAAGACACTGGAGTGACAGACTGTGGAGCAGGTGCTGTGTGTACCCTCCTCTCCCTCCCCTCTCCTACCAAAGCATTTCCTTAGTCTCACCTTGACTTCAATTTTATTTTTTATTTCCTGACACCTGCACAAAACTCAGCCAGAAGGTGCTGATTAAAAGCTGCTTAATGGAACCTTAACAGAAGTTAGAAATGGCTACATGACTGAAAAAAAGTGAAATGGCAACAGCCAACAGTTTATAAACCAGGAGCATTTTACTGTGATTTGAAACACTCAAGGCATGTGTTTAGACCACAGAAGTAGCAATTTTCCTGTGCTGCCAGCCCCCCTTCTCGCTGTTTGCCATGCTGAGTTGCTGCAGCTTGTTTCAGATCCGATTTATCCACTCATCAAAGCAGAGAGCGTGTCTTGCTCTTGCAGGGACCTGCTCGGGGGCCCCTGGGTATGACTGCAGTAGTGGTAGAAGTAATGATCATAATTGTAATCATCATCAATAAGACCCGAGCCCTGCTTAGCATTCTGCACAGGTTTCTGCCGTGCAGGCAGCCCAAGAGGCAGGCACAGCCTGTTTGTGTAGGTCCCACCAACACCTGCTGAGGTCTGGGCTGGCTTTCTGGAGGATTTAGTGCTGCCACTCCCTGCTGTGAGGGTTTGCAGGGGATTAACCTTGCTGGATCCTTGGAGGTGTGAGCACCACAGTTGCTGGGAAGTGCTGGTGCTCATCATCTTACAGAACTCTGTATTAACCCTGAGAGAGGAAAGGAGAGCCATTCAAGCTTGGGGAAGAGGCTTATCTAGAAGATGAACAATTGTGTGTTGGCAGGAAGCGTAGCTGCTGAGGAATTAGGCTGGAAATCAAAATCAGGTGTCCAGACATCTGAGCAGTAGCTCTAAGAGGTTAACTGGGGTCAGAGGTGGTCCTTGGGTAGAGCTAGATGTGTTTGAAGTTTGAAAGCATGTTCTCTTCATGCTGGGAGAAGATGAGTCCTGAGATAGATGAGGCATCAACCAGCCATGGGTCCTCACAGTCTCCTTCTTACATATTTGGCTTCTTTCTCCATGCTCACATGTTTGCTGTTGCCTGCCCCCGCCTTTTTTCCTCAGCAGACCCTGTCTAGCAGTGTGCACAATGGGTTTTGTCCTACCCAAAAAATCTCTTAAAGAAACTAAGATCTTTTTTCTGAGGAGTTGATATTAATTTTGTTTCATTTAAAAGCACTGGATGCTCCATTATTTAAAATGTTCAGGGTCAGGTTGGACAGGGCTTTGAGCAACCTGATTTAGTGAAAGATATCCCAGCTGATGGTAGGGACTTTGGATTGTATTATTATTCAAGGTCTTTCCAATCCAAACCTTTCTGTGGTTGCCCCTCCTTCTTTTCCTGCCACTTCTCTCTTGCTCTCAAGCTTTTAGACTTAAATTGGTACTTCAGCATCTTCAGCAGAGCTGGAGCCTTAGGGAAACACTGCCACACAGCTGTTCCCATCTATGCTGGGCTCAGGAAGATAGAAAGGATTTATAGCTTGCAGATGAAGCAAATTCCATCTTTGCCTTAGTTCCAGAAAATGGGGCCTCACCCTGCGGGGCAGACTAAGGAGGCATCTGGTGTGGGGTGAGGTTGGTGATAGCTGATCTGCTGCCTTTGTGCCTGCTACTGTGGGGCTGGTGCTGCTGGGGTGGCACTGGGGGTTATAAGGCCAGAACTGGGGCCTTCAGAAATGTGTAAAAATCTGTTGTCAGAGGTACTTGGGAGAGCCCTGAGGGCTGCTTAATGGCTTGGGAGCAGAGAGTGACAAACTTTGCAATGAGTTGCCTTCTGGTTTGAATCTTGTTTTGGTAACCACAAAAGTTCTTTTCCCCTTGCCTTTCCCCCTTGTCTCCAAATAAAGCTCTGCAAGTTCAGCAGATCTTTATCTGAGCAAGGCTATGAACAGGTAGAGCACAGTGGAGAGCTGGGGAGGCTCAGCTGGATTGCAGGGCTGGGCTTTCCAGTCCAGCATTTGTGAGCACTAGTGCAGCTCTCTGGGCATTGAATACACCTCCTCTGCCACTGTGTGCAGTCACTTGAAGGATGATTTCATGGTGGCAGGGAAGGAAGTGAGTCCATTCTTGCCTACCAGGAAGTGCCAGATCATTGAATGGCTCCCATGAGGTCTCCTGCTCCTGCAAAGATGACTCTTTCCACTTCCAAAAAACCAAATCTGGCCTATTC